CTCCAAGCTCCCATAGCCGACAACTGCCCCTCCAACGCTTGGGCTTTATCCTTAGTTAAGACTTTCTTTAGCAGTAAAATTACTAAATATCTTTTCAAAAAATGGATGATGCCAAATCAATTCTCTTCTTCGTCAGCTAGTGGAAACAACTCAACTGGACCCAACTGATTTGCTTCTTCAGCACAAATTATTGTTACATTTCTCATATGTAAGCAAGAACGGGCACAAATGCAGAAAGGAAGAAACAGCTACATGAACTTTGTTGGAATACAACACTGTAAATGGTAAGGAAACTACTTTAGGAAAAGTTAATGAGGAGAATAAAGGGGTGAAATCCAGCTGTAGAAAGCCAAATAAGTGCGAGTATTTGCTTCAATAACCAATTGGACTTCCTGCTAACTGAGAGTTACAATTATGAGCTCTCTTCTGCATTAGTATCTGAAATGAGGTCTTCAAGTTCATCAATAATGGCATCATAGCAAAAGAGGTATTGCTCCTGAAATATACAGTAGTAATTTAGTACAGACATTTAGTAAGTACTTAAAAACCAAAGAGCAAAGATTAATTAAGAATACTGAAACACAGTAGCATAGATACTGAGGGCAAGGAATACCAAAAGAGTAAAAGAGAATATTAGCTGAAAACATGCAAGATGTTCAGCTTGAGTAGAACAAATTGTAAGACATTTCCTTTCCAATAATCTGAGCGGTTGAGAAGGCCAATGAAAGACTTTAAACATACACATCCATACATCATTGATCGAAGATGGACAAATAAGAACTAAAGGACACTGGGAACTACTCAAGTTGTGTGCGTTCTAAATACTTTCTAAAATTGATTGTCAGACATTACACCTCTAATGTTTTTGTTGTGTTTTCAGGCGCTTACAGAAAAAAATACACCAAAGATAAAAATATTTTGTGGACCTGCTCTTTGGGGGTAAACTGCACGGGTGAAAACAATAGGTTATCTTTTACAATATGTTTCATCAATACTGTTTAATTAATGTGGTTGCACTAAGTGATAAACAAAAAAGTGGCTAAATTTCTCAGGGAAAACATACATGGCACCTGCTACTTTAACTAACTAGAAAATATTGCATCCGCAGTTATACGCTTATGTAATATTGGCTGTATTATCAATAAAAAAAACACTACATACAGCCATTAAACAATTTTAATAACGAGGATAAGCTGCTGTACCATGGTCTGCACCATCCCAATTCGCTGAGACCTAAAAACAGTTATCGTATTAATAAGATCTAGAGCAGACATATCTCCAACCATTATTTTTTGGATGGTATTATGGATAGCACAGTATGTACCAGTCCTACCAATACCTGCACTGAGCAAGAGAATGAGATGTCAGGCTTTAGAAAGGATCAATTACAGAATCTTTCTAGGTGCATTATAGGGAGGGTGATGACAGATACCTGCAGTGGACTACAATTGGTCCAAGACTGGGTGGGACACTA